CGGGCGGGAGGACGACGATGAGCAATCTGCCTCCAGGCAGAGCGATCCTGGGCAGCATCAAACCAGCAGTCAGAAGGCACAGGGGGCTGATGGAGCGGAGATCATCCACGATGACGTCACGCCACCGCTTGCGTGAACCATGGCGAGGGTGTGTTGCAGGGAGCTCCCCAAAAATACTCGCTTCGGCATACGGTCGTCGTTCATCCGGCCAACATGGCCAAGCCAACGCAGTCGATATTCCCGGATGATGTCCACGACGTCACAGTCAATGCTGAGGGTTCCGGCCATGGTAATGGAGGTGACGCGGTTGTCCCACTGTTGTCCCACACACACAGACACACACGCACGCACACGTGCGCGCACACACACACACACACACACACCATACACACACACAGTGGCACACACACACACACACGCACAAGCACACACACACACCATGTACCACACACACACACACACACACACACACACACACACACACACACACACACACACACACACACACACGCACACACACACCATACACACACACACACACACACACGTGAGTTCCACGTTCATGTTACCCGTCACCCATGCCTATGCAACTCTTACGCAAGACATCTAAAAGGGGTACATGTACGGTACATGTACTTTGGCAACCAGGCTCCCCTACCACCACCACCACCACCACTGCATGTACTGCCCTAGTACTTAGTAGAGTTTGTGACTCCCTTGACGTTGTGTCATGTTCATTGAGCTGTCAACATAATTGTCAAAGGCTGCATGACTGTGAGATTGTGATGTCAGGGAGCTGGGTAGGTCGCAATACCTGCTTGGTGTGGGTGGCAGATCATGCTGGGCCCATTATTGACATGATCTCCATCATGGGTAGGACCAATGGCAATGGGCCACTCTCTCCTGTCCAGCCATGACCTATGTCTTTGTCTAGCTTGCCATGATAGCCAACACAACAGACAGCACCGGTCCATGACACTGCTGTCATGTGTATTGCAGACATGCAGGATGCACGAGGGAACCCACACTGGCCACAGCTAGCTAGCCCCGTGCCCTCATTTCAACTGTGCCTCTGTGGCAGTGTGGGCCCTGTAACTTTTAAAAGTGTAAGTCCTTGCGCCGTGGCTCACTAGCACTGAGCTAAGACAGGAAGTAAGTAAGTATTACTACTATTAGTTCCGAACACGCGAGCGTGCTGTAGTTTACGGCCATACTACATGGGCGGTAGACCATGGTAGACCATGGTAGACGTGGTAGACCTGGCCAGCTGGTAGACCAGTGCAGCCCTCATCAATCATGTCGACGCTGTGTGAAGACTTCGCCCCGGCCCGGGCCATGCCATGGCATGGTGCACACGATATGGGGCTGGGAGTGGGATTTTGTTACTGCCCACCGGGGGGGGGGGAAACGGGGATCTGGATATCGAATATCGTTTCCTGTAGAATAGCGCTGCTTCTAACTATTTTTTATTCGTGTTTCGACAGGACAATGGAGCTTACCGCGTAGATCAACGTGTCTGTCTGATCCACCATTAGCACAGCGCCTTATCGGCTATTCACGCACCGATCATTGATAAGACGGTGCCTCCGAAACAAAGAAGATTGATGGCCGCGAAACCCTCGTTATAAAGAACATCAGAAGAACATAGCAGACTTTCTCTCTTTGCGAATTCTTCAGCTTCATTGAAGCGCTCTAGCGACTGCTACCGCCAGCTCTTGCTCGCTACCTTGATGATTCTTTGGATGATTGACTACTACATGTAGTAGCAACCAGGTCAGTGGTTGGGGTTGAAGCCTGCATTGACTGTAAAGTGGACGACATTGCAGTACCGATGGTGGGGACTGTAAACAATCTCAGTATCACCGATGCTGAGTCGTAAACTCACCGTGCGACTTGCAGCTAGTAATAGCATGGACCAACGACGTTCGTTTCTCCTCGTCCTAGCATGTGCTTTCTGCTGTCTGGTCGGCGCTCAAGGAGACGGCCCGCTCTCGTGTGAGTCCGTAGGTTGCGGCAACTCGAATCCTCACGGACGCTGCAGCTGCGATTCGGCATGTATCACCAGGCCCAGGGTCGACTGTTGCTTCGACTACACGACGCTGTGTGTCGAACCGCCTACTGTTCCGTCACTTTGTTCAGATCGACCGGCCGGTGAGCAATGCGTGCGCTCGACCAATCCATTCCATACTTGCCAGTGTGGACCGGACTGCACTTCTCACAGAGGTAAGTAGACCGAAAATAGTAAGAAAAGAGCCGTGCTAAATACTTCCAGTGGCAGACAAATTGTTGGATCATATTTTCGTTAATTCTGCGTGAATATGCATGCATGCAGAGACGGATAAAACTACAATATGCAGATGTCCAGTCGAATGAAATGACCAAATGGGAAGTAGAAGTGTTACACTAACGTTAATATGTACATGTATGTTCCGGCCCGTTTGTCGATTCTGCCCATCCCAAGATGCAGATTCTGGCCACCTTAGGTTGGGCGGGGGGGGGGGGGGGGGATCTTCGGATACAGATAAATGGAGATGAGCCAGCCAGAGCCAGGGCGTTGCAAAGTACTTATTTTACAACTACATTCTCGGGCTGAGTGACCGAGTCAGGGATTTGTGATAGTGACCGAGTCAGGGATTTGTGATAACCGGGACTCAGTGGAGGTGCGATCCTCCGTACTTGAGTTCCTGCCACTGGTAATGCAGTAGAGGTACATGTATCAGCCACAGCCAATGCAGATGACTGGCTAAAGAGCCTTCTACATCCACACAGGCCGTGACATGATGCAGGAACGCAAAAGGAGAATGAAACGGCTTGCACCTGATAAAGGACTTAACGTGAGACTGGTATTGATGTCCCTTGTCGGCTGCCAGTAGGGTGGCCACACAGCGTCATGGCTGCCGCACCGTGCCCACACCTCCACTTGTAGACATTACTGCCAGAACAAAAATCACATGCTCGACTTGCTGCACTCTTTCTTTGCGTTGTCTTCTCTTTCAGTCTCTTTCGTGCTGGCTGTGCTGGCTGATACAATGCGGTGCAGATCAAATTGAGCGAGAATAAGGGGGAAAACCCAAACAACACTATGATACAGGTTCGCTCGAATTGACTGCCCCACAAACTTGGCCCGTGTACTGGCAGCAACACCAAGCCACAAATCCCCTTGTTGTTGGCAGCTTTCAATCGATATCTTGGGTATTCTCTGGCCAATGGCTGCAGGATAGGCTCAGCTGGCGCATTGTTCACGCATACTGTGCAATCCTTATACAATGTGGGAGACAGCTAGTGGTGATCATGTAACAATGATTAAACTCGGATGTTGGGTTAGTCTTAACTCGTATCCATTTTCCCCTTTCCGTTCTACAATAAACTGAGTGGTTCAGGCTTCACTGATGATTGTGTTTTTTGTACTTGGTTGTCACAGTTGAGCCGGATAAATGTTGTCCAGACTACGTTTCTTTGTGCACAAATGCAACTGCGAGTCCAGCACCGAATGCCACTAATCAAGCCACTGCGCCAGCAACAGTTGGTAGCACAGCCACAGCGCGTCCTACAACGCCACTGGCAACAGCACCCCCGAGAACTCTCTGTGCGAACGAAGGCTGTATGTTCAGCGACCCTCTAGCGGCGTGCAGGTGTGACCACGCTTGCAAACTTGTGACCAATGACGATTGCTGCGATGACTACGATGCGGTGTGCGTGGCATCGATACCACCTCCGCCAAGACCATGGTGTGCTGATCGCTCTGTTTCTGAACAGTGTACTTTTGTACAGGCTAGCAGCACCTTACCTTGCCAATGTGATGCTACTTGTCACTTGTTCACAGGTGAGTGATTATTAACGACCGTTTTCTTCTTCTTTAAGATCTAAGGACCCGTAGTTCTTCCTTTTAAAAGATCAAGAGGCATGTGACTAGATACACCATGCTGGCCGTCATCTTCTTTCACATGCATGAATCCAATGCGATCCAGTTCACATGTTTGCAGATCATGATTATGCATCAATAGTGGGTTGAACCTGACCAATGCACGATAATACTAGTAGGGAATGGTGCATGGCTGCTCCATCATGTGTGGTGTGTGCGTGCGTGCGCGCGCGTGTGTGTGTGTGTGTGTGTGTGTGTGTGTGTGTGTGTGTGTGTGTGTGTGTGTGCAGAAGGGCCTAATGCTTGCTGTCCCGACTGGAAGAGCACTTGCGGGCAAGAAGGATTATCTGAAGAAAACGTCTTTTCTGTGTCTCATTCTCGGGGCATCGGAATGAGTATGGCAGCAAGTATGTCGACAGCAGAGAGCAGCCAGCTGAGCACCGGTATTGGTGATGGCACTATGACAGATTATGCACCTGACTGGACCTCAGTGGCCACTGGTAACAATATGCCATCAACAATGACCAGCACTGTCATCTCGTCAAGTAGCGTGATGTTGCCCAGCGGAACGAGTACTCAAACGGCTGCGCAGGCCACTGTGCCAACTCCAGTTCAAACACCCATGCCTGCGCCTGTATCACCCTCAACACCCCTGAGTTCCGCCATATCCGGGCCCTCATACCCTGCCAACAGCCAACCAGTATTCAGCTCCTCGATGTCATCATCCATGTCATCATCCATGTCATCATCCATGTCATCATCCATGTCATCATCCATGTCGTCATCCATGTCATCTGCTGCTCCTGGCCGGTCAGTATCAGGTCAGTCCCCTATGCCATCATCGGCTTCGCTATTTCCCACAAATCTGCCTCCAGTGCAGGCCTCTTCTGCCATTAACCAACCCGTGATGACTTCACAGTCTATGTCGTCCACAGTCCTTGTTAGCAAAGCAATGACATCATCAACAGTAGTGAGTATGCCGACAGCACTTCCTTCCATAGCATTGCCAATGACGCTATCTGCCACATCTGGCAATGCTATGCCGTCAGCAGGTACGTTGTTGCCCCTGGCCAGTACAGCTAAAAATGCCGTTCATAGTACCATGACTACTGGCGCTTCAGCATACAATTCCCAGCCTCTTGGTGTGCACAGCACTTCTGCACAGCTTCCTCAGTCCGTCGAGATGTCGCCATCCACCCCTGTAATGATGTCATCCACCCCTGTAATGATGTCACCTAGCCCCGCGATGATGTCACCTAGCACTGTGATGATGTCACCTAGCACTGTGATGATGTCACATAGCACTGTAATGGTGTCACCTAGCACAGCGATGCTTTCATCGGGCACAGTGCTGATGACGTCCAGCACTGTGATCCCATCCAGCACTGAAACTATGTCCAGTGTTGTGATGATGTCGCCTAGCACTGTAGTGGCGTCACCCAATACTATGATGATGTCACCTAGTACAGGGGCGGTAGTGGGCACAACATCGACCGGATCACCAGGCTTCCCTTCACAGTCAAGTATGGCGACAGCAACTGCGAGTTTCCCCACTCCTCCAGCTTCCGCGACAACAACTGTGCTGACGAATAATGGCACACAACCAACTATCACTACGCAAACAAAGGTGACAAACCAGCCAACACCATCGGCTTCCACTACATCTAATCCACCAATGAATGTTACTAGTAGTACCCCACCAGGAACAACACCTGTTAATGCATCGGTCAACAGCCTGACAAGCTTGCCAAGTACAGTGAATCCCAGTACATCATCTGCTGTTTCTAATACAACAGCCAACTCTACAGCTTCGACGAACACTACAACTCCACAATCTGTGGTGACAACGCGTGCACCAAGGAACTATTCCACGGGTTCAGTTTCCACTGCATTAGGTAGCCACACAATGTCGTCAACGCTGTCAGCAGAAACTACCCATGCATCAACTTTTCACACTACGGCAGCAGCATCTGTGTCAAGGAGTACTGCAACGCAGCTTACCTCGAGTATACCTCAATCTTCCTCCACGGCTACTAACTCTGGGTCATCAGTGACATCAGCAATGATGCCAACAGCTTCATCCAACTCCTCCACATTGTCAACCTCAAGCACAGCTACACAAGCTCCATCGACTAATCCCATGGCTTCGGCAACAGTGGCTACAACTACGGCAACTGCAACAGTTACAGCAGCAACGACAGCAGCAACAACAAAAGCATCGACAGCAGCAACAACAGCAGCAATGTCAGGAGCAACGACAGCAGCAACAACTGAAGCAACGACAAAAGCATCGACAACAACTGAAGCAACAACAGCAGCTTGGTTAACATCTACTTCTTCTGCACATACTACAAGACCCTCACCAACGTCACATGCCAGGACTTCGGCTGCAGTAAAGACATCGACGGCACCAGTGCCACCAACAGCTGGCGCAACGTCAACACCATCAAGAGCAACTACACCACGGCAAAGCACAGCCAGCCTGTCGACCGGTGCTGCTGTTGTCAGCCAACGCAGTCAGCCAAACTCAGCAAGCGTCAGTACCTTCACCTCGCCAACAAGCCGGCAGAACGAAACATCCGTGCCAAACCAGGGAGGTGTCAGTATTGGCTTGATTGCCGGTTGTGCCGCCGGCGGTGCCGTAGTTATCATTGTTGTTGCTCTACTGGTGATCCGCCGTGTCCGTACAAAGAAGCGTAGACGCACAGCAATGGCCATGACAGACTATCTCCTGGACAGTGCGAGTGGCACTTCGAACACCAGGAGACATGGCAGGGGTAGTAGTAGCGGCAGCAGGAGTGGGCGCAGTTCTCAGACCTCACATCTCAGCATTTACGGCGATATGGATGATGACGATGATGACATACTGGACGGTGCTGGTACATTCAGCGAGACACCCCTGTTGTTCAATTCTAGCAAAGGCTCACAGCAAACAGACTTGATCCACCTCTGACATGTGCACAGACGCGCCACTCACATGTCTTTCCTTGACCTGTCACTATGCTCGTACTAACTGCAATGGCGACCATTACAGGGGCACGTGTTCTCACGACCTGGCGATGCTTGAGACCAAGTGAAACCTCTGTCAGTGCTGCATGTGCAATGTAGGCTGTCATTTTTCTACACGTACGTAATTAACTTCTAGGCTTGATATACCCTCGATTCTCTCCTTCAAGTGGCATTAAATGTTCTTGCTTTTGGGACTTTTTGTCATTTTCTTGACATTTCCGATCTACACTGAGTACTAATGTGAGGTACAGGTAGCAGCTTCTTCCCTAAGGGAAGAGATGAGCAATACATAATTGCTTCTCTTTGCCATCATTAATCAAGTGCAAATTACTACTTTGGAGAATGGGTGGTACTGGCTGGTAGATTTGCATCAACACTGAGATACAGACTGATTATGCGAGAGAAAGTCTTCAGCCGACATCACTGCAGCAGAAAGCACACAGTTGGACATCGGTACCAACAACAGATGATATGAAACTAGGTGCTATGCGCTAATCAGTTTACACACTCTTGTCACCAAGGATTTGTTCTTTTTGAAGTGTTAAACATGATATTGTATAATGTGATGATTCTGTCCTCCTCATGACGGCATGCAACAGCTGTAAAAAAAAACCGGTCTGACCCTCCTACTGTACGACTTGTAGAGGCACTAGCATGCCTGGAGGAAGCCTATCGCTCCTGTTGTTCCTCGCGACGTCTAGACATTTGGACAGATGGCAGTGTCTCTGACACCAACGCTGGTGGAGGTGGTTTTCTTGTCATGGAAACCACTGCAACCCAGCGGTCAGAGATACTGTCTGGGTGTCTACCAGCTGGCGCTGTCGCAACATCCTTCACTGCCGAAGTAGCAGCAGCAGCAGCTGGCCTGAGGGCAGTCTACGACCTTACCACCATGGAGACGGACGTTGTGCTGGTCACTGACAGCCTCTCCCTCGTAGATGCCCTCCGTGGAGACCCATACAGGATCAGCCCAGACACCATTGCTGCGTTCGATGCTCTGACAGAGGTTGCTCGGAAGGCTCATTCCATCAACCTTGTCTGGATCAGCAGCCACTGCGGTGTTGCTCTCAATGACAAGGCGGATCGCCTTGCGCGGAATGGAACACAGTGTGTACAGGCCCAGGTTCAGCTACCTATCCAAGCTGCCAAGGCTTCAATTCGGTCTGCAACCGCATACCCCCGGCCATTACTCAACACCAGCAAGTTCCGCAGCCCTCCGTCCCGGCATGAGACCACCATCCTCAATCAGCTGCTCACTAGCCATTGCAGCCTGCTGAATAAGTACTTGTTCCAGATTGAGGCGGCACCTTCACCCGACTGCACTCACTGTCCTGGAACAGTTGATGATGCTGCCCACCTCCTGCTAGCTTGCCCTGCCAGACACAGCAGTCGAGCAGGTACACGTCTATGTACCTTCACATCTGTCAGGGAGGCAATTCTCACACAACCATCAGAAGCTATCCAGTTCTTGCAACTGGAGAAACTGATCTAAGTTTCTACTACATGTACACTGTACTCTCACAGTCATTTTCATATTTATTATGACTTGTAGTTACCGAAGAAGAAGAAGAAGAAGAAGTTAGCTGTAAACGGCAGCTGTAATTCTCCAGGCTCGGAAGGAAACGCAAATTTCATTCTGGTATTGGTTGGTGCAGAACCATTGTAACTTATTACAACGGGTATTCTGTCAAGAAGTCAACACGGTAGTAGTACCGATTTCAACGTATTTTCGAGCTGGGAATGTGAACATAGTAAAAAAAACAAAACAAAAAACATGTAGTAGTAAAATAGGTAGCGAAGATGACTCGCTACCAGCGAGTCATCTTCAAGTTCAATCCACAAAATGTGATACTGAAAGTGAAGAACCATTTGAGGTAAATAGTCTTTGTAAAGCTGAAGAAAAAAAGGTTATTATACTATGCCAGCCGGCTATTATTTTAAGTCATGTATGAACACACAGTGGTATAGGCAAATGTTGTATTACATACCCACAGCATAAGTACAGCAGGAAGATGTTGAAATTACCAGAAGGTCTCCACAGCACATGAAGGGCCTTATGTTTCCACTCACAACTGGAGCAAACGGCATTGATCCAGGAAGGTAAAATAGGTGCCACTACCTGTGATAAAATAAACACTGCTAAATTGATGAGGTGATGAAGCTCCACACTACGATTTCCTAGTACTATAATTATTACAAGAGGGTCATTGTCTAACAGCTCCAAACTGTTTGTAAGGTTTTCCCCAGCTGAAAGAGTCCTGTGGGTTATTGCCAAACAGCCCCATAAGATCACCATGGTTATGTCTCCACGATCATGAAGTTTGCTTGTTCTGCTGGTCTGCACCTCTGCACCTCTGCAACTGCAACCAACTCGTGACTTGGTATGGCTAGATCATGTTAATACGTCCAGAGCGGGTCGTCTGGATTCCTCACAAGTATGATCTTCTTGTAAGCCTGCAGCCTTCGCAGTGCATCAGCGTCTGCTAGGCCACTGAGAAAGTTGATGTGCTTGTATGGTGGTGGGCTGTGTAGATGTGGCTGGCGTGGCAAGGGCCAGGACGGACTGCCAGATGTAAATGCATTCAACACTGCTTTCCAGTTTGAACACTGCACCCAGGTCAAGCAACAGAGTACTATTCGGCGGCGATCATCATAAACCATGCGAGAGAACAGTATGTCTTTCTCCATTCGTGTCAGCTGCTCTACATCAGCGTGGCCGGAGCAGCACTTCGCCGTCGCGTCCTCCGCAAAGCGGCGAGCCTCCGTCTGGCCCGACAACGCTACCGCGCGCCATTTTGCGACGCCCAAACCAACGGATCCCGGCTCCTGGCGTTCCAACAGCTTACTGACGAGTAACCAGAATATTGCACTGTAGACACGCGACGTGTCTTCCCACCAGAACAGAAACACCACCATAGCGCAGACGATGAACGGGAAAAGGAGCCACCTCGGTGCACCACACATCGTTTCACCCTAATTAGCGTCTTTCAATGCACCGGGAAAACAAACTAAAACAACACAAGCTAACACGGAAGCGTGCCGTTCGACGACGATGCGTCGGGAATCCCTAAGTTACTCCACTACTTACTGGGCTAAGAAGATTACCCGACAACACAGTCGGAGCAAGGCCCGAACAAGTATGTCCTCGTGTGACAATCGACAGAAGAACACAGAAGTTTCTGAACAATACCATGAGACGGCTACATTAGGGAATGGAAAATGACATCTGCGAGCGGAGATGAACTACTTGCGAAACGTCGGCAAAGCCGTGAGACCGAATATATCAGAATGCCAAACAACTGCCGGTAAAAGCTCACATGAAGTCCCGGAGAAAATAATCATTTCCAGAAATTAACTACGTTTACAAATTCATTTTACATGTAGACTAACAGTAACAGCTAGCTACAGCCTGAGCACAGAGCAAACAGCGGAGCATCAGCAGTACAGTGTTCGCATTGCTCGTCCATGAGAGCCATGCTGCGCGGTTACCATGGTTACGGAGAAGGGGAGGGGAGAGAGAGACAGAGACAGAGAGAGAGGCAGAAGCGAGTCCGGGACATCGCATGAAGTACATGTACACGCATGCACTGCGCTACAGTCGTACAGTAATGTTACCTTACCCTAAACTAAAGGGGAATCATGGCCAATCGAACATCACCCTGCCTCTGCGTTCCATACAATTGCCAATCCAGGTCTGTAGGCCTGCCCACCACCGGGATTATACTAGTCGTGTAGTATTAAAGTTAGGTCACAGTACAGAGTCGCGGCACAATTGCCGAGTTCAGTCACTCTATCACGAAGACTGTCAATTGTGTCTACAATGTACATGTATGTACAGAAGTCACTAGTGGAGCCATCGTGGACTGGAAACTGATGAATATAACTTGTAAGTAAGTTGCTGTCACCACGAGGCAAGAATCATTAGGCAATAACGAGAACAAAGTTCCTCGATACTGGATCTAGAGCTTTACCATCCCCATCCCCATCCCCCCTTTGATATCCTGGCTGGATTGCAACTGCAGATTGCAACTACTGTAAGATGCTTGCGTGCTCGTTGCTTTATCGACTTCACGCTTTTCCTGAGAAAGAAATAGCAACAACTTCCAAAGCAATAGCCGTTGGCGGATAATGCTGGTAGAGACTCCGCAGAATTTGATACCTTTTCTTGGATATTTCATGCATGTGTTGGATATGGAAAAGGAAGATAACCAGAACTAACGGGAATTGGTCGGCGTAATGGTCGCCGTAGGTGCGCAATAAAAAAAATCCTCTTTTCAGCCTATGGGGGATCTCCTACTACATACATGTAAGTGGCAGACATTACATTACGGCAGAAGAGAACAGAGACAACCGGCTAGGTCATTGTTGTCATGCACATATCAAAGCTAAGGGAATCCTCAGACAACTGAGACTCTTCTGTCTGTGTGACAGTGCTCCATCTTTGTAGTGTTGAGTACTCTAGGCAATCTGGGGGTCCATCGACTGCTCATGAAGAACCGCTGCAATGATGATCTCCGCAGTCAACACCGCACTGCTCGTGCCAAGGCCAGGAAGCTGGACAGGAGCCTGAAGAACACGTATTTCATCCAGCAGTGCCCGCAGACTTCTGACCAACGTAAACTTTGGTCAGTCATCAATACTGTGGTTGGCCGGAAGAAACAATCGCACACTGCTCAAGTACCCATATCGGATCTTAGCAAGCTGTTTGGTGACGTTGTCCATGATCCCCAGCGTCCTCCTCAGCTCTGTTCTCCCTCTGGTCCAATGGCGGAAGGAGCATTTACCGACTTCAGTGTAGCGACAGTCGAGGATGTGGCAAGTAGTTTGAAATCTGTCAACCCTTTCAAGGCAACATGCAGTGACCAAGTTCCAAGCATCATCCTGCAAAAGTGTTATCCAACCATTGCCCCCACACTTACACGCATCATTAATATATCCCTGTCCTCCGGTGAGTTCCCCCTGCCCTTCAAGTTGTCCCACGTCAGTCCGCTCTTCAAGAGTGGAGACCCAACTTTGCCAAAGAACTACCGCCCTGTGTCACTGCTCCCAGTTATCTCCCGCATCACAGAAGCATTTGTAAAAAATCAGATCACGCAGTACTTGGACTCCAAGCAACTTCTTCCGCCTACTCAGTTCGCCTACCGAAAGCTTCACTCAACAGAAGATGCCTTAACGTATGCTGTTGATCGATGGCAAATGGCACGGGCAGAGCGCAAGTATACCGGCATCGTGTTTGTCGACATGTCAAAGGCCTTTGACCGCGTCAGGCATGAGCGACTCGTTACCGAACTGTTTAAGCTAGGCATCTCGGGAACTGCACTCAACTGGTTCTGCAGTTACCTGTCTGGCCGGACACAGCAGATCAAATTGCAGGATCAGTTGTCAGGGACTGTTCCTTGCTCTCGCGGTGTTCCGCAGGGCAGTGTCTTAGGCCCACTCCTGTTTGTAATTTACACTGCTGATGTCAAGTCAACGATGCCTCCGGATGTGGCAGATCAGGAATTCGCTGATGACATCGCTCTCGATTGCTCCAACGCGTGTCCCAAGCAAGTCTGCGAGTCTCTGTCGTCTGCAGTGACCAACCTCGCCAAGTGGCTAGATGACATCGGCCTACTTCTGAATGCCCAGA